TATCCCTGATGCCCAGGGGGCCTGGAAAGACTCACGCGACATTGGTCGCGTGTTGGCGTACCAGAACCGCTGGGTTAACATCAGGGACTGGCTGTTACTCAAGGCAGATAAGCAGACGGACGGGTGGTTCCTCGTTGTTTCGGTGCCGGAGGATCATATCCCGACCCTGATGAAGGCCGGACGCCGTCTCGCATGTGTATGCGGGGCGGTATACGTAAAATTCCAGGGTCGTGGAGGCAAATTCTTTGATACTCCACCGAGCAAAGAGGTAGAAAACAACCCGGAAGTTATGGATACCGAAGCCATAGTTACCGGTACAGCGGAATCACTGGAGGCCAAGTCCAGTGAAGAAACGGCCTGCACAATTGAGCCGAAGCCCCCAGTGGAGATTGGGCTCAGCGGCAGCTCACTGAGTGACGAGGAGGACTGCATTTTGCCGACCACCTCCGACTCGGTGGCTGACGATGAGACCCGAGATCTGCTGGCAGGCCTATTTTTGGGCGGGGACGGGGAGGACGCGATCAATGATGGCGTGCCCTTCGTCCAAAACTAGCCTAGTGCAGGCCAACCTCCACCACAGCGAAACTGCGTCGGCTCAATTACGCAAGTGGTTGGAGGTTCAAAGGACTGCCATAGCCTTAATCCAGGAGCCATGGGTTGGGGCTGGTAAAATTAAAGGCCTAAACAACCTAAAAGGTAAGTTATTCTACAGCTCTGAACACGACAAGCCTAGAGCGTGTATTTACACTACTAAAGATATCTGTGCACAACCTTTAACAGATTTCTGTTCTAGAGACATGTATGCCGTAGCAATACAGTACACACAGGAGAGTAGATTAGTCGTCGCCTCGGTCTACATGCCGGAGGAAGACACTCCTCCACCTCATGACCTCAGCAGGCTGGTGAACTTCTGCGAGAGGACCGGACTAGAGGTTGTGATCGGGACGGACTCCAACGCACATCATCCCCTTTGGGGAATGGAAAAACCAAATGAACGAGGTAAAGTTTTAGTTGAATATTTATTTAGTACTAACCTAACCATTTTAAACATAGGTTCTGAACCTACTTTCATAAACAAACGCTGTCGCACTATAATCGACCTCACACTTGTAACAGAAGGAGCAGCCAAACTAATTACGGGATGGCATGTGTCGAGAGAGGCCTCATGCTCAGACCATAGATGGATCTGCTTCGCACTACAGGTCGATATCCCCTCTACACCACCATGGAGAAATCCCCGCAAGACAGATAAAACTAAATACCTAAATAGGCTGACGTCTTTGCTAGCGGATTTTGAGGGGATAAATACTATAGCAGATCAGTCGCTCCTAGAAGAACAGGTAGCAGCTGTTACTAAGGCCATGATAGACAGCTACCATGAATCATGTCCAGAAATCACTCCACCAAGACATGCCGAGGTAAAACAACCGTGGTGGGGTAAAGAACTCGATAGAAAACGTAAGAAGGTAAGAAAAGCTCTAAATAGGGCCATGAATACCTCAATGGATGAAGACTGGCTATTATATAAGAAAGCTAAGTCTGAATACAAAAAATGTATCAGGTATCGACGCTCGATTGGGTGGCGTAAATTCTGTGGCAACATAGAAACCTGCAAACAAGCAAATAGGATTAGGAATATTCTAGCTAAACAGAACACGTCGGGATCCATGTCTCTAAAGAAACCCGACGGTAGCTACTCAACATCGCCGGATGAAGCCCAACGCATCCTAATTGAAACGCACTTCCCAGGTTGCTGCGTAACCCAGGAGGCAAACCGGCATGACGACATACTGACATCAACAGCAGAAGACTGGAATTTAGCACAGAGAGTGGTAACGATGGACAAAATCCATTGGGCCATTCACAGTTTCCTCCCCTATAAGGCGGCAGGACCCGACGGCATATTCCCGGCACTCCTACAGTGGGGGGGTAAAGCCCTAATAGTCAGACTTGCTGCCATAATGCGAGCCTGTCTTGCTCTTAAATATGTTCCTAGGGGATGGAGGGAAGTGAAAGTTACATTCATACCCAAACCAGGTAAGAGCGACTACACTGACCCTAAATCCTACAGGCCCATTAGCCTCACATCCTTTCTACTAAAGACGATGGAGAGGATGTGTGAAAGGGAATTAAGGGGGTCGGCGCTAATGAACTTACCACTACACGACAAGCAACACGCCTACAGTCTAGGCAAATCAACAGAATCGGCCCTTCATAAGGTAATTACAAAGATTGAAGAGGCCATCCAAAACAAAGAAATATGTCTAGGTTCCTTCATAGATATAGAAGGTGCTTTTGACCGAACGAACTTCTCCAGCATAAAAGGTGCACTCGGTAGACACAAAGTTGAACCGGCACTGATCGACTGGATAGTTTACATGCTCAGTACACGAATAATAAAGATTGCTGGTGAATCTCAACCAATCCAAATTAAGAAAGGCTGCCCGCAGGGTGGGGTTCTCTCACCTCTCCTGTGGAATATGGTCATTAATGAACTCATCAGCAAATTAAATGACAATCACTTCTATACAGTAGGTTATGCTGATGACCTGACAATACTGGTCTCTGGAAAGACAGCAAGCATAGTGTGCGACCTGACCCAAGCGGCTCTCCGTATAGTGGAGAGATGGTGCAGGGAACACGACTTAACTGTCAATCCAAATAAAACGGTTTTAGTTATGTTCACACAAAAACGAAAGCTGAATAACTATCATCCTCCAAGTCTTTTTAGCACAAAACTCCAGCTATCCTCTGAGGTAAAATATTTAGGTCTTACCTTGGACAGCAAACTTAACTGGAATAAACACATAGAAAACAAAATCAACAAAGCTAGTATAACTTTCTGGCAATGCAGAAACATGATTGGCAAAAGATGGGGATTGACGCCAAAAATCATACTGTGGCTTTACAAAACTGTAATTCGGCCCATGATCACATACGGCGCTCTGGTATGGTGGACCAAGACAAATGAAGCCACCATAATTAAAAAGCTTCAGCGCTACCAGAGACTGGCATGTATGGCTGCTACAGGCTGCATGAGAACTACGCCAACAGCAGCCTTAGAAGCGATGCTGGAGCTAACTCCGCTTCATCTACATATACAACAAGAAGCGACTTTAGCTGCCATCAGACTCAAGACCCTAAATCTTTGGAGTAAGAATAGTGTCCCTCATACAGGCATAATTGATAGAATTCACTCAAAAATTCCTATCCTACAAGCCAAATACGATAGGATTCCTAAACAATTTGTTTTCGATAAGAAATACAAGATACAGTTAAATGAAAACAGCCAGCCGGAAGGATTAAGCCCAAAAGAGCTTAGAATTTTCACCGATGGTTCTAAAACAAATGAAGGTGTAGGTTGTGGAGCTTTCTCTGAAGACCTCAATATTCACATATGCACACCGCTGGGTACCTATAACACGGTCTTTCAGGCGGAATGTATGGGTATCATTCAAGCGGCCATAGCAATAGATGCTAGGAAGGTTAATGACTTCCCCATCAGAATACTGACCGACAGTAGGGCGGTACTCCAAGCCCTGAGATGCAATGTGGTGAACTCGGGACTAATATATGAATGCCATCAACGATTAAATGAGGTATGTAAAAACAACAATGTGACCCTGCAATGGATAAAGGGACACAGTGGATCCAGAGGCAACGATGCAGCAGACGAACTTGCCAGAAGAGGATCGGCTTTGGCCACTATAGGGCCGGAACCGATCATACCAATCCCCTTTGGTAACGTTTGTTCACTGGTACGTAGACACTTTACTAATCAACACGCTCAGCTTTGGAAAAATCTAGTAGACTGTAGACAAGCTAGGGATGCCCTGCCTGAAATTAACAGTCGCTTAACAAAAGTTTTAATGAGACTGAACAAGCCGCAGATTAGGATAGTAACAAGTGCTATCACAGGACACGGCACCTTTAACAAACATTTATTTACTATAGGTGTTACAGATAGTCCCCTGTGCAGGGCATGTATGGGGGAGGAAGAAACGGCGGCCCACGTGCTACTGAAATGTCCGGAGGTCGCTACATACAGGGCTAAACATCTCGGCACGCCGGGATCACTCCCCGAAGTTGCATGCAACATCAAGGGCCTGTTGAGCTTCTTCGGAGAGATCTCATGGCTCGAATAATCACATTATTCCTGCCCACACGCAAAATACGCGCATAGACGTGGAGTTGCGGAAAACAGCCCGTCGTAAACTAAACTAAACTAAACTAAACTATAGTCAATTTGTTATAACTGCAAATTAGTACCAAACCAAAGAAAATATGTTTTATTTATTTAATGAAATTTTATTTTATAGAATAATGGTGACAAACAACCACACATTCCACCTGATGGTGAGTGGATGCTGTGGCCCATAGACATGTACATTTATCCTCAATTTAGAATCAAAAACCCCTAAAGACTAAGATGGAATGTCTGGTTTCCAGTAAAAAGGATCTCCAGTTCTCTACACTCACTATACGAAACACAGTACCTTAAGCTGCTATTTTATGTTGGTATTCTATGAGAGCTCTATGACCCCGGTTGAGACGACCAATTCATGCTACAAATATAATACTGCAACCTATAGCTGCAGCGTGACTCTACTACCACGTTTAAAATTATATAGCGTAAATTTCCATCCGACTACTAAGCCTTGAATCGTCTTACAAATTCACTGCTGAACGTAGGGTTTTCCCAAGGAATGCCACAAAATACGGTTAGTCATCTGCATTCGTCGACTTCCTGTATGTTACAAAGCCGCCACTTTAATGGAGCCCATCCTACCGGTACGAGGCTGCTACTCGAGAACCTCACTTCCCCATCCGTTGTTGGTCCTTCGAGCTATTGCCGGTTTAATACTACTTCAAGAACATAAGTTTTAAAAAGAACATGTAATCGTGTTGTTTTTGAATACTATACAAACAGTTACAAAAACGCCGAACCATTTTAACTTGATGATAAAATAATAATACTATTTAATTTAGAAATAAAACCATCACATTACATTCTTAGGGTAAACATTGAAATGTAACCTGTCGTCAATTGCGGCAAGCTCGAGTTGCTGCACATAATCATAGCACGTGTCACCGGGCGCTCTTCGCAGGAGGATAGGTCGGTAATTTAGGGGATTACCATCCAAGTGTAAGCGAACGTGCTTGGCACCGATGTACGACAACTCCATGTTCGCGTTGTAGTTCCATACGCGGACACCTGTAGAGATAATTATTAGATCAAGTGGTTATTGTAGATTTATTGTTAACAAGCGACCCGCTTGACTGACTTTTCCTGGTTAAGATCTAAAAATGTGGCGTGTGTATTTAGATTTAAGATAATGAAATGCCATTTATTTTATAAATTTTTCGTTTTTTCATAAAAAAGTCTCCAAGTTTTTCGGAAACAATATATAGCTTAGAGACCCCTCCTAGTATTGCCTCTATCTCTCCATAAAGTTTCACCTCAATTGGTTCAACCTTTCCAAAGATTAGGTCACACTGACAGACAGACGGAGATTTTTTTTAAATATTGGCTAGTTATATAATCTGGAGGTAGCCGTGGTTAACTATGACATTGGGACGTCAAACACCTCAATCCTCACCATGAACATGGGTGCTGTAAAGTACTCGAAACGTCGGTAATATAAAATAAGTTAATATACGCGATAAAATCTGTAAAACTAGTTTTATTTAAATGACTATTTAGGCCTTCATATAAGTTAAAGTTACAGCATATATATGTCCCAATGCTGGGCACAGCCCTCCTCTCCTTTCTAATAGGGTTTTAGGACAAGGAAATATCCACCGCGTTGCCCCAATGTCTTAGTAGCATGGAAAAAACCAGAAATAACCATATATAATACCCTAAACTTAATAAAAAGCATTTATTACATATTCGAGATTACGTGGTAGAGCCATGCTGCAGCTATATTAATAGTATAGTTTTTTTTATAGGATAGGGTGACAAACGAGCACACAGTCCACCTGAGTGTTTGCTGTGGCCCATAGACATCTACATTTATCCTCGAAACACAGCAGCATTAAGCTGCTATTTTACGCTGGTATTCTGAGAGAGCGTGGTCCTTCAAGGAGCACGCTCTCACAGAATACCAGCGTCAAATAGCAGCTCAACACTGTTGTGTTTCGTATGGTGAGTGTAGAGAACCGGAGACCCTTTTTACTGGAAAAGAGACATTCCATCTTAGTCCTCACGGGTGACAACGCATCTGCATTTTGATTCGCAAACGAAGATAGATGTAGATGTCTATGAGCCACAGTAACTACTTACCATCAGGTGGACTGTGTGCTCGTTTGTCACCCTAATTCTATAAAAAAAAATCAAGGCAGGCACTTCAATTTAATTTATATGTATAGATTAAAACTAGTAATGAAATTAATCATAACAAACTATTTTTAAAGGGTATTCTTTTACGTGCTGTGTTACAATACTATGTATGAGCACAAAAAGCTGGTATTAATAGTTTTAACGGTGGTCCTCCGAGCCACCATATTTATTTATATAAAACTAAGCAATGATTTAATTTGATATGCTGTCTTTAAATATGACGTACGGCAGTACAAATACGACTAGTTTTTAGAATAAAACTGAAGTACAAAAGTGAGATTTTGTTGAATATATGCTAGAAAAAAAAACCGCTATCAGTTCACTATAATATATTTTATAATTATTCTGATATTTTCGTAGGCAACGTGTTTGGGCCATTTTTTTTTTAATTAAGGAAGTGTGATGTATTTGTAAACGAGCACACAACTCTCCTGACGGAAAATAGATGCTGGCCTATATACTCCTATATCTATTCTCCATTAAAAATCAAAATACAGAAGCAGTTACCCATGTCACCGATTTTCATCAATAACTTCTACGAAACGCGAAATAAGGCACTATTTTACGCGAGAGTGGTCCTTGTCTGGTCGAGCCGACTTATTCGTGTTACAGCCATAATAAGCCAACGATGTGGCCCTACCATGAACTGAAATTTCTATTAAAAATGCAATACTTGAAAGGACGTTTCGTTTCACACACTTAAAATACGTTTTAAAAAATTATACATTGCCCCGAAGGGAGAGGAGTAATAAGAAATGAAAATATTTTGCACGAGGGGAAAATGCTCATGGATTCTTATCGCGAAGGCCACAGCGAAGTTATGTCGGATTCTTCTAGTTAAAAGTTAAAACTCGATGCTTTTACATAATACCGCGATGACACAATACAAAGAAGGGACCATTGCATGTCCCCATAAATAAATTTTATCTCCAGATAATTTTACCTTCGTATATTTTCCCGGATACCCAAAGATGATATTTTATATTAATTTAAAAGAAAGTAATATGGATGAAATATAATATAATTTTAAGGACTAATGTTATTATTACTAACTTTATTTAATAAGAAATTATATTTAAGTCTAATGTATCTATGCGTGAATAAAGTTAATAAAACGTTGTAAAAAGATGATTTTTTTTTCCTCGGGAAGGAATTTATTTGTCCCATGATCAAAGGTGTCTTTAGTACTACCATCTGTCTTCGTTTTCGGGAGCGTTTCACAAACACACGGTATATAATCCATGTTTAAAGCAACATTGTGATTCTGAACACACCATAGTACTTACTGGAAATTTCAGTAGGTTCTTTCAATTCGAGAACGATATGGCAAAACTTGGAGCCGGGCGAGAAGTTTGCGCACCACATATCATCGAAATGGGTAGTGATGTTACTTCCATTTAAGAGATTTTTACAATCTATTAAAGCGCTGTACTCCTCCACTTTATCGTCGCTTATAAACGCAGAATATGCACACGCGCTGTGCACTTGTACAGGTCGGTTATATTTGACAACCTCTATTCCTGTAGCCAGAAAAAACAAAACCTTTTATATCGATACTCTTATAAAATCGCAACCTGTAATTTTGTAATCGATTTTATTTATTTATAAAACTAACGTGATTAACGAACTAACAGTCTACCTGACGGTAAGAGTGCTGCAGTTCAAGGACACCTCTAGCTAACATCAAATAAAGAAAGCTGCAAATACGTTTTCAACTCGACTCTAAGAACTCTAAGGACTAAAATGGGAAGCCTCACAGCCTGGATGTCTGTACCCTTCAGACCAGAACACTGCAGTACGAGAACTGCTATGCAATGGATTAAATTGACTACTAAAGTAGTTTTCTTCTTCTTTGGTCCATTACGTCGTATAGCCATGCTGCAGCTATATTAGTAGTATAGTTTTGTAGCACGAATGGGTCGGCTCGACCGGGCAAGGAACACGCTCTCACAGATACCAGCGTAAAATAGAAGCTTAACGCTGCTGTGTTTCGTATGGTGAGTGTAGAGAACCGGAGACCATTTTTACTGTAAACGAGGCATTCCATCTTAGTCCTCACGGGTGACAACGCATCTGCATTTTTGGTTCGTAATCGAGGATAGATGTAGATGTCTGTGGGCTGCAGCAACCACTTACCATTAGGTGGACTGTGTGCTCGTTTGTCGCCCTTATCAAAAAAATAAATTATTTCTAAACCAAAGTATTATTTTCTTATGGTCACAACATCGTCATTTGTTAGCAAATAGAAATATAAGATATAATATGCCGTAGATACCCGTTAATCCTATAAGATGCGTCTGCCCCCAATTCGACATTAAGGTCAGCTTAATCACTTTAGCCACATATTTGATCTCCTTCTCTTCTACTATCGTAGGTTCCTCAGTAGATGGACTGACATTATTACTATCGTTAGCCGTAGGAGGTCGCTTTTCTACTATGCTGGAGTAGTCGTTTACGAGATCATTTTCTCTGAGTAGTGCTTGGAAATTTTTGTCATTTAACATTATCCGTTCCAATACATTCGGGTCTTTTGTAAACAGAATTGTCTGTAAATAAAGTGTTAGTTTATTAGTGTAACTCAATGTCTCTTTTTTTTCCTTTCATTCGCTTGAAATATCTAAGTTATTAGTTTTTTTCTTGATTCTGTAGAATAAGAAATAAGAAATTGCTATGCCTTTTGCAACAGCTTAATTCTAACAGTAATACAGACATTTATTAACATTTTCTCTCTATTTCAAATTTCGAAGTATACTTACGTCACCGAATGTCGGCAGGAGGCCTTTGAGCTCCCCGCTGGATCTCGCGATTTCTCCTTGAAATACCACTTGGTCGTCCAGTTTGATTTGAACGAGACGCACACCGCGAGTTGAATAAATACGGGACTTGTTGTAATTCTGTAGACAAATAGAAAATTAAATATGTGAAAAGAAATTAGTTAACATGCGCGCAAAAAATAAAATGATGTGTCTGTTGTTTTGTTGTGTGTGAAATGTTTGAACTTTCCTCCCTCCCACAACTACTACTACTGTCCACTGCCAGTACTAAACCCTTCACCACTATCGTTATTTAATGGTTAGTCATCGCCGAACCTTCTTCTCATAATGCCTCATTTTTAGGCGAAACATATCTAATGGATCTTTTTATTGTAGTAAACCGGATTTTAACTAATACATTTTCATATGCTTAATATAATGGATTTTGATTCTATTAATTATTAGACAAATAGAAATTAATCGTAAATTTTTATAAGAATTCTTTAAGACGTTTTCTAACAATGGAAAATGGATGGAACATTTGGTTAAATCTTTCTTCTTACACTCTTAACTTACCCAGATCCTGAGCAGAGCCAGAATGGTACACTTAGCCAGGAGTACACTGAGAACAATTGGTGCAGTGTTCGGCACCGGTACACACCAAGTGTGCTTGTCATCCTTTGTTCTCACTACGCCATCGACGATGCTATCAGCACGATTGTGCTTCGAATCACCTGTTTCTGTATCTGACCATATCTGTTCAAATATTAAATTGACATTAGTTTGTAAAAGTAAAATACGAAAAAGTTTAATGTAACGAATTTTATCATATAATGTATAAATGAAGTGGTTGCTAAATTTGAACAGGTACTTTTGTATTACGGAACTTATTGAAATTCCTCTCTAATAAAAGTTTTTTTTTAAATTATAACTCAAAGATATTTCATATCTAGAATTATTCTTTAGTTTTAGAATATATATTTTTTATAAAACAATGCCTCTTATACGCCGTACATCGACGATCAGTCATATTTGCGTCGTCGGCGAGATGCTAATGCTGGTAGTTGCATTAATTAACGTATCGTTAGATGAAAGTGAATGCAGATAAGGCAAGTGATGGTTTTTAAAAGGGGAAAAAAGAAAAACAATATGTAAAATAAGAATAGTAGGGAAGTTGGTCCAACAAGTAATTGAGTTTTACATAAACTAGGAAGTGGATTTAGCAGGAGCAGTAGATTTTTTCACTTTTCGTTCTATATCCTAGTTATATCTACCATAGATATAACTAGGATATACAACGAAAAGTGAATGCAAGATACAGAATAAAGAGGCTCTTCACTCTATTGTGAGAAGTTAGAATGTGTCAATTAAGGCACGTATGGCGTTACATATTGCTGTGCCATTGTTAAAGTGTGGCAGAAGAAGCATGAGAATGAAATTAATGTTGTAGAAAGGCTATCATTAGGAAGCATAATTTTAGAGGTTAATTTGTATGTTAGGGTGTGATGTGCAAGAAGATGTTGTGACCATGATTTAGAAGGGAATGATTTCGGTGGTTTGGGCATGTAGGAAAAATTAAGAAAGTGAGACACGGCAAATTTATGATGCAGAGGTGAGAGCCAGAATCAGCAAGGGACGTCGTAAACGGAAGTTTATTGACGAAATTGGTGATATAACACCCTACCAAGGTAAGATTTAAATTTATTACCTATAAAATAATTGTATTAATATTTAATGACAAAATGACTAACCTTCTCTACCTTTACCAATTCACCATCCACGTCAAAAAGTTCAATGCCATTTAAGCCGACTAAAAATTTATCTCCCCAATTTGAATGAATCTTTATTTCTAACAGTCTTCCCTTAGGCAGTTCCGGAATAACAAATTCATTACAAACTTTGTCTTTCTGTGAATTTCTTCTCTTGATTACTTTACACGTTGTTTTATTTGATTGATTGTTCTTAGAGTCGGATGAAGATTTCTTAGGTGCGATATTTATTTGTTGATAATTTAGACTACTTTCTCCAGAAAATACGTTTTTTCGCAACTTAGTCGTTTCTTGGGTCCCTTGGAACATATTTTTTTTTGTAAAAATCTGATCCTTCGTACCGAACATTCAGTAAATTATAGAACATGACGATGACAAACAAAATGTCGTAAATAAATAATTACAAAAAAAATATATCACTTTTTGAACAAACCTAAGTTTCAATACTTGACTACCTGCACTGGTGTAGTATTTTATAATGTTAAATGCAAAAAATATATTCAGTTTTATCGATAATTAGGTATGTACCTATATGGCTGGATAAAAGCCTCATGATGGATGTAAATAAATATTTTTATACATATCATGGTTATCAAAAGCCAAGTCTTCGTTTCTTTAACGCGGCACCACGTCAAAGATGTAGCTACCTCTTGCAAAGTACTTATATTTGAGATGATTATTCGTTAGCAGTCTGAGTCCTAGATTTTTCAGTGTCATAAGCCGATTGTGACGATTCCTACGAAATTATATAAAGAGGAAAAGAGTTTCCGAACGGCGCGGCGTCTATGCATAATACAATGACATACTTACTATGACCTATAATAACATCAGTAAAATCGCTGTCTATAATAGTATTCATTCGCCTGTGACGTGGAGTAACATAATGTGGCAGAAGGTCGGACAGAAAATCATTTGATATACTGTTTGTATTTGGAGAATCACCCCAGTCTATTTTGTCGCTCCTTTCATTGATATTCTTCCTTTCATCTTTATTACAACCTGTAGTTTAAAATACCAAATTAAAATCAAAACTATTTACGTCACTATCACATGGATGACAAATATATTTAGACTTAAAGGTAAACAATGCAATATAATCTACAAAATAAACTTAAGATATTTATCCCAAATAAGATAATGCTTATAGTAACCTACTACTTATATCACTTGACCCAATTGAAAACAGTAAAATGATTGATAACCCACCGGTATACCTACATACGTATGTTCTTTGTTCTTTATTAAATTATTATCAATAAACAGTCGGTAACAGAACAGTATCAAAACAGCACAGCAGAAAGAAGGGGGAGGGGGAAAACTATCCCCCTTAAACTGCCTTCGCGCGGAGATATATACTTATAGTTTTAAAGTTTACAAGTATGGATATTTTATCGTCAGTATAGCTCAGAAGAATTGGCTCTCATTTGTTGGACTCTCACGAGCGAAATAGAAGAGCGAAATAGATCTAGAGAAAAAAGTTTCTTTATAAAGTCAAGTCTGTAATGTGCATTTTAAACAGTTTTCGCACGCATACACGAGGCGTTCAATAAAAAGTGAGAATGAGTATTTTACGGGTACTATTATTACATGTTATTTTATTTTTCAAAGTCAACTTTAAATCATCTTGTACTACTTAGTATAAAAATTTCAAAAATTAATTTAAAGAAATCTAATTATCCTGAACGTCTAAAAGTTACTGTACTGTCGCGACCACTGCTTCATCATCTTCAAATCTGTGTTTTCGCAGATACTCCTTCAATCTTGGAAATAGATAGAAATCACCAGGTGCTAGGAATTTTAGCAATCGCAATGCGACATATGCGCCGGGACGTTATGTTTTTTATAGAATAAGGGTGACAAACGAGCACACAGTACACCTGATGGTAAATAGATGCTGTGACCCATAGACTTCTACATCCATCCTCGATTAAGAATCAAAATGCAGATTGGTTGTCACCCCGCCTCGTTTCCAGTAAAAAGGTTCTCCGGTTCCCTACACTCACCATAAGAAACACAGCAGCATTGAGCTTCTATTTTACGCTGGTATTCTGTGAGAGCATGGTCCTTCCCCGGTCGAGCCGACCCATTCGTGCTACAGCCACCATGATATAGCTGCAGCATGGCTCGACCTCGTAATAAAATCTTTGCGAATTACCCCGCCATTTCTCCCGGAGTTCGTTGCGTTCATATATTTGTTCTGCGTACAAATCATTACTAGTACATTCCATGATCATCTTTGCTACTACTACCCCCTCTACCCCCTCGGACAAGAGCCCATGAGCCTCAAGCACTCTCCTTGTATTTCTTAGGAGTAGGAAATGAGGTTTCGGGATCGATCTTAATGGTAAAGACGCGTTTCGTCGTTGTTATAAATGTCGGGGAAAAAAAGGAACATGATCTTGTTGCAACAGCTCTAAAAAGCTTTGGGAAATATTGAGTCTGTTTTGTTTCTGTGCATCGATAAGTATTTTAGGTGCCTTTCTCATGCTCAAGCAAACATCTAAAATACTCACTACCTGCCGAAATCTTTTCGTTTTTTTTTTTTTAAAAAAACATTACCCCCACACTAGGATTTTCTCCTGTATCGTGGAGGCAGTTTACAAACACAAATTGCACAAGGACAAACATCCAGACCCGGAACAATTATTTGTAGGCCATACAAATACTTGTTCCGTGCGGGATTCGAACCCGCGGCCCCCAGCGCAGCAACTCATTGCTAAGCCACTGCGCCACGGAGCCGTCTTATGAAAATCGTTGTGTCTTCAGAAATAACACGCATCACTACGACACGACTACATCGTGACACGACGATCTACAAGATCATATTTTTCAACCTTTTCACATTACCTTAGGGTAATGCAATCGTAGGGCGTTTCGAGCGAGGATCATCTTTATCTTTGGTGTATGTTATTTTACGTTTAAACTTAGCCCACCAACATGCAATCGTAAAATACGGCGAAACATCTATCCCTTATGTGCTTATTTTAAGTGACTTATTTTACACGTTTTTTTTTTTTAGTTTAAGGATGAACAGTTCGGGAAGACGTCCTGTCTTACAAGAAAACCAAGAAGCAAGAATAAAAGAATGCGGGTGAGAAACTGAACTGATTAAGCAGGTTAAATGAACATAGAGCAAGTGTAATTTTGTTTCATGTACTATCAGAATATAAGCACAAATTTCTTCTGATAGTAGGTATTTGAAACAAACTTACATATTTCTACAGTTTGGATGTCAGAAGAATCTTATAAGTACTTATTATCTAAAATTGAATACAGGATACCGATAAGAGATACTGTGATGCAGTTTGCATTAGAACCAAAATTAAAATTGCGTATTGTATTATATTTTCTAGCAACTTGAATATATTTGTCTTCAAACTTCGAACACACGAACTAGTAGCTAGGGTCGTTGCGTCGGTAAGCCGACCGGGTCTAGTTTTATGCCTTTGGCACCAGGTGATGCAGTAAATTTGATTTAATAACGATTTTAATAAATATTTTCGTCCAAAATTAAGTTTAATGCATTTGTAAATAGTTGCATTATATATTGCAATATTACTTCATCGGGTAAACACAACACGCGATTTATAATAAATAGTTCAGTTTGATGCCGCGCCGACACAGGAGCTGTCAAAGAGTGAAGATCGTGCAAAAAAAAATAGTGGCGCGCGTTTCACTCAAAAGTATATTTTGCGCTGTATTTACAATGATTATTTAATATTGTACTTATATTTCACTGTATAAAGAACTTAATTTTAAATTTTCACATAGATTACTATAATATTTTATTGTAAAAGTTAATAAATTAGGTGGCCGGAAAGTGACACATAAAATTTTCCTATTATTTGGTTATAGGCCGGAAAGTAGCCCGAGCTTAGCCTAAATACTTCGTCTCTTTCATTTATTTGGTTACCTACTATTAGTCTTCTTTCTTATTTATAATGAATTGTATCCTTGCGAAGACACTAGCTTTCAGTTTTTGGCCACCAAATACTGCAATTTGAATGGTTATTGATGAAACTAAAATACCTATTTTAGTTGTGGCCGAAAACTAGATTGAGTCTAAAATTATTTAGTTTTCGGCCAACTTAAAATTTTATGAAAGAATAGGGAAGTCGAAAATTGAATACTGCTTTTGTTGACGGACATTTCATGAAATATTTCATTCACGTTGCGTTTTAGGAAGAAGATTCAATAAGACATTATTTTCTTCAGATGGCTCCTTCAAAGAAAAATCCTCCAAAGAAATATAATTAGTAAAAAATGGTTTCAGAAAATGTGAACTTAATGAATTTGATCACCATATATTGGATTACTCAAAATGTGTCCGGAATACCCCGGAAAGACTAATTAATGAAAATTCAGACACCAGAAAAAATATATCTCTAAAGAAATAAATAACGCAGACCTAGTTTCCTCAAGAAAAGTTTTGAAACATTTAAAATCAAATCTGGCAGAAAAAAACACGGTTGGCGATGTTCTAGTAACTATGAAATACAATTAAGCATAAATGTAAAATTAATTTTTTGGATAGAAGTAAATATGTTAATGAAAGCTTGGTAAGTATAAGATATAGAAAAACGACTCCATGCCAAATTAAAAAAATAATTAATGAATTGTCGTGTGAAAAAGCTCCTGGTGTTGATGGAATAAGAGTCCAAGATTTAAAATATGTTAAAGATCAAATTAGTCCTGTAATTTCTAATTTCATCAATTTATGTGTAGAAAAAGGTATATATCCAGATAGGCTAAAAAAGGCAAAAATTCGACCTATTTATAAACAAGGAAGCCATAAAAATTATGAAAATTACAGGCCTATTGCTATACTTTCTGTCATAAACAAGATAGTCGAAAAAGTAATTGTTAAACAAATAACAGATTTCTTGGAGAATAATTTTATATTAGGAGATCATCAGCATGGATTTCGAAGAAATAGGAGTACAGCTACAGCCTTAACTAACTTTACAGACTATATAAATGAAAGATTAAATGAAAGGAAACATGTGGTAGGCATATTTATTGATTTTAAAAAAGCTTTTGACACTTTAGACCATAATCTTTTGTTGAAATCAATGGATGAATGTGGTATACGAGGTCCTATAAATAATTGGCTAAGTAATTATTTGCAAAATAGGAAAATAGTGACAGTTATTAAAAATATATCTGGAAAAGAGGAAAATGTAAAGTCAGGTGTTCCTACTGGATCCGTATATGGACCAGTGGGTTATATAATGCACGTCAACAGTATATGTAATGTAATCGAACACTGTGCTGTTTTTATGTATGCGGATGATATGTGCATCCTTTAT